ACTTGATAACAGCTGATAAGGAACTCATTAGTGTAGCAACGAATAACTAACACTGTCTTCGTATGACTTTATATTTGTACTGCGAGGATAATATTATAATATACTAGCCCTGCCAGCTAAATCCAATGCTTATAAAAATAAGCTAAGACCTTTAAATAGCAGTGAAAAAATAATTCTTATATACTTATATAACGGGTGTCCCAACTAGAACGCAATTTTTAACTTTGGCGCCATTTTAAGCGTGATTGTTTGACATTTGAACAATTGTTATTATTTGCTTGTAGAAGGTACAAGGTTTGTAAAAATGGAGCGCTACACGAATGAACAACGCATTCTCATTGTAAAATTATTTTACCAAAATGGTGAAAGTTTTGCGGCTACAGTTCGCAAAATACGATTTTGGAGTCACTCAAAAAGAGTCAACTGTAAAGAGATTATAGAATAAATTTGGTCTGTTAGTGATGTAAAGACAACAACAACGCAAACAGTCAATGGTGTTCGATATCTTGAAATGATTACCAGTTTTTTCTTGCCTAGAATCGAAGAAATGAATATGGACTGCATGTGGTTTCAACAAGTCGGCGTCATACAGCCAGCGAAACAATTCAATTGCTGCATCAGTCATTTCCCGGTCGTGTTATTTCGCGTTTTGGAGACCAGAATAGGCCGCCGAGATCGTACGATTTAACACCTTTAGATTATTTTCTTTGGGGTTTTTTGAAGTCGATGGTTTACGCGTATAAGCCGACGACGACTCAAACCTTAAAGGAGGAAATTGGACGCTGTATTAATGAAATACCGCAGTATTTATGCAAAACGGTCCTAGAATATTTCATTCAAAGTTCGCGCGTATGCCTGCAAAGCCGCGGCGGCCATCTGCACGATATCTTGTTCCATACATAACCTCATTCTATCTACTTTACGATATAATAAAGTTTCACGATATATTTTTTTAATATCTGTGTTTTATTTAAAATTTAAAAATTGCGTTCTAGTTGGGACACCCTTTATATGCAGGGAGTAGAGTCGATTATTATTATCTAACTATTTTAATTTAACCGAGATATTATTAATAATTAATTACATATTATGGGATTTCAAAAACTTCAAAATAAAATAAAAATACATGAATGTCAGCTTCCTTTTTGTACATATATATGCAGTTTATTCCAACCAATTTCTAAAAAGGACTACAACTTCTACAACTAGATCAAATACAATGAAACTAACGTTTTCGGATTATACTACGCGCATTTTATTATTTTAAAGCGTTTCGGTTACTTTTCAACCACCGTGATCACGCGCAGACGAGATGTGAATTTACATTGTGAATACGTCGGAAGTATGTAGTTTTTACAATAATATAATACGCGTAGTATAATCTGAAAAAAATCGTTTCATTTAAATGAATACTCGCGAAAGTTTTTGATCTCATTATATATATTATTATAGATCCATTACATAAGTAAACGATTTGAAATAAAATTTATTCGTCATCATTTATACCTAGTGAGTTTGAAGTTTAAAAGTAATAAATAAACGCGTAGTGATCACAAAATATTGGTTTCATTTAAATGAATACTCGCCAAAGTCTTCGATCTCATCATGTAAACAATTTTAGTTCAAATAAGTTCATTACCTAGGTCATTACAACGCAGTTCGTCTGAGGCAATTACTCTAAGCCCTAAAACCTAGACTGCACTAACTTAAACTTAGACACATCTAATTTAAAGCCAACCATAAAAATGTTGTTGAACATGCCGGTGTGATTGAAGCGGTGCAGCACAAACACATGAGCATCAGCATCAATTTGGAATAAGGAAATGAGTTGGTATTGAAACACGGCGTTTGGCGATGTTCAGAACAAATAACTTCTGAATGGTGGTTTGTATTCAGCTTTATGAAGTTTAACATTGATGTACGGAAAATAATTTAAATATAACCAGGAAAATTATTTATTTGTGAGGAACCTTGAAATATAATATTAAATGAAACTAATATTTTTCGGATTATATTGCGCGTAATTAATTGTACCAAAAAAACTACAACTGTATAGTAGGAAGGATGTCGTTTTTACAATAATTTAATGCGCGTATTAATAAAAAAATATTGGTTTCATTTAAATGAATACTCGCGAAAGTCTTAGATCTCTTTATCTATACTAATATTATAAAGCTGAAGAGTTTGTTTGTTTGTTTGAAAGCGCTAATCTCCGAAACTACTGGTTCGAATTGAATAATTCTATAAAAAAAAAAATAGATTTTATCCTTAAAATTCTACGGGAACTCGACCATTCCGAAAATCCCGCAATAACGGGAACTATGTGGGAAGAACCAAAAATCTGCCGGAAGTCACTAACGGAAGTCCACGCGGACGGAGTCGCGGCAAAAGCTAGTACTATATAAAAACTTTCATATTACTTATAATTTCTAGCCATCTTACTATTCGGCATTCGCGTGTATTTTTTCATGTTTAATATTATTAAAATCATTGTGGATTTTGAATTACACTTGAATTATATCTTAGAGAACATATTAAATAATTAATAATGATGTTGAAATTTAAAATTGATTACAATTAAGGAGATAGGTATATATAAAAAAAAAGTTTCTTAGACGCTCGCGCTAATCTTTCATAGAAAGAAATATATCGATGTCTTCGTTTAATATTCTAAAAAAAATTATACATATGTATATTAAACAACGCGGATTAAATCGCGTGTAACAGTAAGTAAGTAATTTTATTTGCAACATTTTAAACAACAAAAGTTATCACCGAGAGGGGCGAAAAAAACACAGGACGCGATCAATATCGCGGGAAAAACCTAGTATTAAATTAATAATTGCATAAGTCACCCCTTCGGAAGACTAGAATACACGGTCCACTGTGTATAAATTTGAGTATTGACTAATAATTACATTGCGTGTCGCGTCCCATCAAAGGTCTTTTATAAGGAAAACATACAATTGCACATAGCTTACACCTTGAGCGATGACATCAGGCTATGACAGCGCCATTGTCTGAGAGTGTCATACATAAACACACACACACGCACACATGCACACACGCACACAGACACACACACACACACGTAGATAGATTACGCACGTATTCGGTAAGAGAGTGATTCTCACACTTTATAGGATTTGAAACATTTTACAAGATGTACTTGATGACATTAACATATTATATCTTCTTCTTCCTGGCAATTTCTCAGATTTAGCCAGGGTCTACCTTACATTGTGAATAGTTTTGGTTAATTGTGGTTGTGAATAGTTTTGGTTAATTGTTTTTAATTAAATATTAGTACCTAAATAGAATAGTTATTATTATTCTAAGACTACAAGACGAAATAATATTGAAGCCATAACCTTCATTTCGTAGAATATATAAATGATATACTACTTTTCGCTCGCGACTTCGTCTGTGTCAATTTCAGAATTAGAAATGTATATTTACTTAGAAATGCAATTTTGGATTTTATTCAGTTTAGTTTTTTTATCAAATTGGATGAAAAATATCCTAGGTCTGTCACCTGTTTCTAAACTAAATTTCAACCTAATCCGTACAGTTGTTGTTAAGTTATAAACAGCTTAACTAACACAACTTTGAAATGAAATCTTAGAAACCATGATTTCTTCAACTAAAGTTTTCTTTAAGCTTATCAATTCTCATCATTTATTTTTTTAATAAAAGTTATACATACTTTAAAACTTATTTATATTTTTTATCTCCTTTCATTGGCCCTGCTAGTTAAGTTATTATGTAGAACAATATTTTTACTGATAAGTTTTAATACTTTTGAATGCATATACATACATTCAAATTATTTATAAAATGTACCAATTATGTGTCAGAATATACTGAGAATATTTTAACAAACTCATCTCACTGACTAATTAAAAGTTACAAATGAATCCTACTAATTCAATATTAAAATTACATATTAACATGATTCATTAATATTATATATTAATATACAATAACATAATATTGATATAGAACATTTAAAATGATTTTCATTAATGAGCAGGATATTTATGTTGTTAAAATTAATACAAGTTATTTATAGTTTTAGAATAATATTGTTGTGAAAATTTTACAGGTAGTCTTTAATTTGAATATTTTATTATGAACATTGTATGTAGAATAATATATATATATTATATATATACAATTATATGATTCAAATTATTGTCATAATTAATCATGTTTATTTTAGTGAGTATAAGCATTAATGACCAAGTATATTATATATGTATAATGTTCCTATTATATATCAAATTTATTATATACATCACAATAGTTATACAAGTTACAAATATTAGGCTTTGTTTATTTATATTAACAATTTTAAGTACTATGTGAAAAAATATTTGGAAAAGTCATTGAAATATGTAGTAACATTGCATTTAAATATAATATTTATTTTTATATTAAAAATATATATACATATCTATGTATATAGAATTATTTTAAATAATGTACATTGTATAAATAAAAATATACTGTTTATTAAAAATTTATTTAATGCATGAAATATTATGTACTTGATTTATATACAATTTTTTTTATATATTACAAGACTTGTATTAAAAAAAATCTTTAATATGTTTAAATGATAATAATAAAACTTTTACAAAAATATTTTTAAATACATAGTTTATTATTATTTTGGTTCATAATAATTTTGTTTTATAAAAGATTGTTAGTTAGATATTAGTACAATAAGATTGCATTAATTACATTCTCATACTAATGTTAAACATTTTCGACAGTTGATCAATATTCTCACAAGAGAAAAAAACTCAAACCATAGCAAGTTATTTGGTTTTGAATATTTTTTTTAAATATTTTAAAAATATTTTAAAGTTTATACAAACTTTTTGCGCCATTTTCAAAACTTGAACTTAGCAATACAAGTATAGCACATAATACAGTTTCAGTGTTATTTTACTAAAGACTGTGGAAGGCATGAGAAAGTTAAAAATAGGACTTACCTTAAATGCAAATTTTCGATGAACGTATCTGTCGTCAAATTGTCCAGTAGGACAAAGTCGGACACACCAACTTCTTGCTGCATCGTCATCTTGGACGAGTTACTTTTAAATTCACATCAACACAAACTAGAATACGTGTGTACACTCAGAAATAAAAGTTTGTGTTTAGTTTGAACTTAATATTTATCAACAAACCGTTAATGCAAACTAGCACAGAGCACAAGCATCCCTTGCAGTTACTTAAAATAAACTGACAGGTTTTCAAATTCATGTTACTGGCCACACTCAGTGTCATTGCCATGTTAAAAATAATAAGGATATTTGAAATTAATTAAAAATATCAAATTTGATTACAATTACTATTTTTTTTTCTCATAATTTCCTAAATATGACTATTTTAAATTTTTGTCATTATTGTACAATGAATGCTTTTTAACTCGCTGACATGATTCAAATGTTAAATCTTCCAGGAAATCTTTATCTGTTTATCCATCGTCGCCATTTTCCTTGTTGTAGGCGCCTCAAATGTCATAATAATTTCATTTTTCAGTAAATTAAGTTTTCTTTAATGTTTTGCGTTCTTTTTTCTGTTTTATTGATGTCTACGTCTAATTTCCGGCCTAATATTGTGTTATTTGCATTAAATTTCTCAAATTGTGTTAGCGATTTCTGCCGACACTCCAAGGATATAATTGATGTTTTACAATGAGAGATCATCTTCGTAAAAGGTAGCGAGTTACTTAAACGCCCACAAAACGCTGTATAAAGGGTCGTTTAGCGTGAAGGTCCATTCGTGATAGTGTTAGTTAAATGATGGAAAGTTGAAGTGGTATTATTGAGAAGATTGCATTGTATGTGACACAATGAGCGATTCGCCAGGAGTAGAGTGGCTCCCGGCGTACAGCCCAGGGCCACCGCGGCACAGTCCCCTTGGTCCGATTCCTCGCTTTCTTTATGAAGATGTACAGCCGCCACTATTACAACAGGAAAATAACAACAAGGAAATTGACCAGAAACAAGACAAAAATAAAATCAAACACGCCAAACCAGCTTATAGGTAATGTTTTCCTCAAGCATAGAGAACCTTCGACTGATTTATTGTTGACGCATCAGATAGGAATGCAATTGTTCTTTATTTGGTTTTGTTGTAAAACATTTTAAAAATTATAACATTGAGTTAATACACAAATAATTCAATTTTATTTGAAGAACAATACATATAATGAATTATGCTTACTACATAAAATAATTAGAAGGTCTACCCGTTAAAAACACATACAGTTTGATATAGCATAGTATTCAATCAATCTTGATAAGAAAGTCAGGTATTTCTATAGTGGTGTATAATAGTACATATCTGTAATGTTAACAATGTTTCCAGCTATGCGAGTATGATTAGATTGGCTATCAGCAGCTCGCCCAATGGAAAGATGACCTTGAACGAGATATACAACTACATCTGCAACGCCTTCCCTTACTACAAGGAGGCCGGCAAGGGTTGGATGGTGAGTTTAAAGAAGTATTGAGATCTAAGACTTGCAAACATTCATTTAAATGGAACTAATATAATTCGGACTACTATATGTATTTTATTATGTATAAAAACTACATTATTATTATTATTAGGTATTTATTACAATTATGTTGGTATTTTTTACGTTTATGTCTAAGTTTTCAGTGTCTCATAAACCAATATTAGTTTTCCGTACAATACTTCCAATGTTTTGGTTACTTTTCAGCAACCGTGATCGCAAAGACGAGATGATGCCTGTGGTCATGGTTGCTGAAAAGTAACCGAAACATCAGAATTATGTAGTTTTTTATATAATAAAATACTCATAGTAATCCAAATAATTTTAGTTTCATAGAAATAAGTATTGATTTACAAGCTTTCCGCTGCAGCTTCGCCTGCATGGAGTTCGGTTATATCCCGAATCCAAGAGAACCTTTCAAAAGTCTGGGATAAAACTCCTATGTTCTTTCTCAAGGTCAACTCTATCTCTGTACCCAATTTCATTAAAATCAGTTCAGTGGTTTAGGCGTGAAAGCTTAACAGACTGACAGACAGAGTTAGTTTCGCATTTATAATATTAGTAGGGATTGTATATGTTATGAGAATATTCTTGTAAAGCATTTGATTAAAATTGATGATGTATCAATTTATGTAATGATGTTCATATAGAGTTTTTTGTCCTAATATCAGCTTTGTCATGTTTGATTACAAAAAACAGTTTTTATTACTCTGTTAATTCCTGTTGCTGAGTTATTAAAATGACTCATAAATTGAAAGATCTTCTAAGACCTTTTTGCTTTTGTATATATTTTCAAAACTATATCTATGGTTTCTACAGTTTTTGTATTAAAATTTAAAACATACATTTAGTCTAATATTACTTCTTTAATAGTAGTGGTCTAGTAATAGTGTGTTATATAGATTGTGACTTTATTCTGTCTCTGATTGTAGTTTTGCTGTAAGTTTTCAACATGTAAATAAGTCAAATAGAATTGCACTTTCTGTATATGAGAATGGACAAATAGTGATATTTAATGCATATTATATATAACAAAAACATTTTTATAACCTTTTCTGTCTGCATAGATAATGAACTGAAATTTTAAATTAATGGATTGCACATTTTTAGGGTAATGAAGTTTCCAAAGAATTATTTGAGTAACATTTTTCTTAGAAATATTAAGACATAAGCAAAAACTTCTTGAAAGTTATGGAGTACATTTGTTGTAATTAAATACAAGGTAACAAAAAACATATCTATGTTTTTCTAAGTCATATCTATGACTTATAGACAATACAATTAAGAAAAAAATGTGTTATTATATAATATTACACTTATAAGTGTGAAGCACTGATTACAAGATATTGGTCTGAGTAATTAATATCACCTAATGTTTTTCATGACAGTCGGCTAAAACTAGTTAAAAAAAAACGATTTAAGTCTTTTACAATGCTTACTTAGTATTGCAGATTAATTGCAATAAAATTCTTGTCCCTTATAAAGCCCTCTGGTAGATTATTAATTCTTATATTTGTTTGTATCGAATTTAAATGTATGGTCAGTGGGTAAGATTGAAGTCAACTCATTGCTTTTAAATTCTTTGTATTATAGTTGTTATTAAAACCGTGTATACAATGTTCCAGAACTCAATCCGTCACAACCTGTCTCTGAACAAGTGCTTCATGAAGGTTGCTCGCAGTAAGGACGACCCCGGCAAGGGCTCCTACTGGGCCATGGACACCAGCTACAAGATGGCTGAGGTTACTCCGAGGAGACGGCGCAGTTTACGAGTGAGTAATGACATATAGAGGACACATAAGGAATGTTTTATAACTTTAAATATACTTCTTAATTATAATTTATTTACTTCTTGATGAGATCTAAGACTTTAGCGAGTATTCATTTAAATGAAACTAATATTTTCGGATTTACTACGCGATTGTCTCTGACACTCTTCTTCTTCTACCTGGCAATTTCCCAGCTTTAGCCAGGGTCTCCCTTACATGTTGTGAATAGTTTTGACTAATTGTTTTTACGACCGGCCGCCTGCCTGACATCAACCCTCTTTGGGAATGCATTAATCAGTGATGTCTAAATACTCTTAGAAAGTACATATGACTCGGAAAAATCACATTGGTATTTGCCTGGACCTTTTAACCACTAGGCTACCACTGACTACTAAATTGTTTTGTTTTTTTGCGATTGTCTCTGACACTAACACTCACAAATTGTTAAGTAGCCGAAACGTCGGGAATATGTAGTTTATAGGCAAAAATAAAAAATCAAGAAGTAAATCCGAAAATATTAGTTTTATTTGCTATGCATATTTACTATTTTAAAAACTATTAAACTAGATGTGACATCTTGTCTGCCCGTGATCACGGTTGCTGAAAGTAACCGAAAGTTCGGGAGTATCTAGTTTTTAAAAATAATAACATACGCGCAGTATTTCGAAAAATATTAGTTTGATTTACTTCTTATTTAGCGATTGTACGTAAGCCACTAATCATAGCCCAAAAATGCCTTACAATATTTTGATAAACCTGATAGTTCTACAATGATGAACCAATATTTCCTAAGAACTGCCGTAAGAATACTGCATCGAAATTGGTCGATAGGTAAGGGGGAAAGGGCGTAACAAAAATGCAAACATTGCTAAGCCTTGTGGTCCAACTACTTTCAAAACTTTTGTAACATTTTTGGGATTTTATCCTTATAATAAAATTTATATTATGCTAGCTGACCCGGCAAACATTGTTTTGTCATATAAAATATAGGGGTTGATGATAAAAAAAGTAAAAATTATGGGTTGTATATATATTTTTAATGCTACATAATCTATATATAAAAGAAAGTCGTGTTAGCTACTCCACTTATAACTCAAGAACGGCTGAACCGATTTAGCTGAAAATTGGCAGGGAGGTAGTTTAGAACCAGGAAATTGCAATAGGATTTTTTATCCCGTTCGACAGCATTCCCGTGGGACTTGACATGAAACGTCAGTCACTATAAAACGTGGAATAACGAAACACAATTGACAGCTATGCGAGTGACGTATAATGTAATGACGTATGGCTGACAATTTGATATTTGTAAGAAATCTACTATATAAAAATAAGTCTGTTTTTCCATCCTGACGCTATAACTTCAGAACGAAGAACCAATTTCCACGGTTTTGCATTCGTTGGAAAGGTGTCGGGCTCCGTGGCAACAAAAAATTTCAACAGAAAAGGGGGAAAATCTTTTGTCACATACAGCGCCATCATACATAACATGTACTACAAATTAATATTAAGTATATTTAAGTAGATGGTGCCGTCGCATGATACATTGTTTGACAGCTACTCATTGTTCTTTTCTCAGTTAATTTCATGTGACAAACCGGTATTATATTTGTAGTTTGAACTCTTAAAACCATTTAGTATTTGCGGGATAAATTTAGAAAAAAACACTGTTTTTCAAATTGGCAGTTATATTTTGCGTGTTCACGAGTTTGGAAACCATCCGCTTTGTTTGTGTTAAAGTTAGACCAAAAAGCAAAAAATGTGGTTTACAAAGGAGCACTTCAATGAAACGGATAATTTGCGGACACGTATAACGCTTCGATTCGGTATCTACTGTGGATTCACTTTCATTTACTCAGAGAAGTTCAACTAAATAACACTTGATTTTTGTAATCGAAATGAATTCATTACTGTTGTGAAATGAAATAAAAATTTTCCTTTCCAAATATAAAACAAAAATAATCTTCATCTTTTAATCACCAAACGAAATGTTATATAAAAGCCTTCTGGTGGCGAAACGGAGTTCGCCAGGTTTACTAGTAAAAAAATAAAAACAAAAAATTTCGTCCGAAAAAAATTAAGGGTAAACAACCCTTAACACTTAGAGGTATGAAAAATAGATGTTGGCCGATTCTCAGACCCACTCAATATGCTCACAAAATTGCATCAAAATCGGTCCAGCCGTTTCGGAGGAGTTCTCTGCCTAACACCGTGACACGAGAATTTTATATACATATAAAAAAAAATTATAAGCTTTTTTTTTAATTATGCAATGTTTTAGTTTGTTAATTTCATTTTTTCGTTTATTTAAGGGACATTTTCTTTACTCAAATAATGAGCTTCTTTTTACTAAATTGTAATTATGAAGTCAAAATACGTCATTTCCAAATGTTAGTCATTAATTTATTTTATATACTGATTATACAAATGCATTTTACAGATGGCGCCCTACAGTCCAGAGTGTAGTTCAAACAGTTCCGGAGACGCCGGAGCGTCTGGAGTGGACGCCGCGCCCACGCCGCCCGCTACGCCCACGACGCCCACCGCGCCCACCACGCCTACGACCACCACCGTCCTCAAAGAGGAGCCGCTGGTTAAAGGGGAACCCAGTGAGTATGAGTTCAACATGAGAGAGTCATAACATACAGCCTTGGCCAAAAGTATTAAGCGCCCTAAAAAAGCCTTACAATTATAGATCAAAACAACTTTTACTTTTCAAAGTGATTTATTAATATTAATAACATATTAAAATAAACAAAAAAAAAAAAAAACTTAAAATCTACTTGGTCCACCTTTAAACTTAATCACTGCTGAAATTCTATGAGGCATGCTCCAAACAAGTTTAGTGCAGTTATGCCTTGTAATGGAAGCCATTCTTGCACCAACGCATTTTTAATGCCGTTTTCGATGTAATGCTGTATCCTTTGATTTTCCGCTTCAAAATACCCCAAAGATGCTCGTTTGGATTAAGATCTGGGGACTGCAGGCCAATCCAACAAAACAATGTTGTTGTCAGTAAACCAACGCATTGTATTCGCTGATTTATGACAAGGTGCATTGTCTTGTTGGAATATGACTCCCTCTAGGTTGTTGTTGCCGAAAATATTCGTTAACGAAGGCGCAAGCGCAGTCTCAAGAACTTCTATGTACTTTTCACTGTTCATGCGACCTTCGCAAACAAACATTTCGCCAACCCCGTCGGAGCCATGCACCCCATGATCATTATACTTCCTCCGCCGTGCTTCACTGTTGGTACGACGCAATCTGAATGGTATCCCTCACCTACACCCGAAGGTCACACCTGGTGTTCCAAATACCTATTAAAGAAATAAAAAATAAGGTTTTTTCAATGATCATAACCAGTGGCAGCTGGTGGGTTATCGAACTGGTGGTTCACTTTACTAAAATATTGACAAAAACAACAATTGATATAAAATATGTTTATTTTTTGTACATTAAATCAATGCGACGACATTTTTCTGTAGCGAAATGTTCTATCACCTTTTTATTAAAATCTGATTCCAGTTTCTGTCCAAATCGATTCTCCGCCAAAAATAATGCAAGGAAAACAAAAGAATGCATTAAGACGCTCACATCCACACAACCATTTCTTTCTATTATACATTTCACTTTTAAAACTTCGTATAAATGCTTTATTTTTCGATTTACACTCTTGTTTTAAATTTAAAAAGGGCCGTGGCGGCCCGGCCAATTTTATGTTCACTTTACTTTAAAAAATTTTGTTATTTTCTTTAATATAATCAATATTTATACTCATTTTCAACTAATAAAAAACACAGTACAGAATAAAAGTTCTATTATAGAAACGAAATAAAAACTAAAACGAATTACGGAAATAATTATAAACAATAACGAATTAACGCGTCACGCATACAGTGAAAGTTGAAACAATACCAATAACGATTAACGAAATGTCAATCATAGCACCCATCCTTTCGGCCGGCCCCTTGCCGGCCGGCTCAATACGTCATACATCGGGTGCTCTCGGTAACCTTCGGCCGCTTCGTGCGGCGCTCGAGAACCGACTCGTTACTCGGTACATTTCTATGAACTATCTTTTGTCTCACGCGTCAGGCGTATTAATGCGTATCTCATACAAGATGTATTAGCATTCCTCGTGCACTCGCCGGAGCGCACGATATGAGTTTAGTAAAGCGCTCAAACTTTTTGACCATAATTGGAAATTAAATTTTTTATACCTTTTTGTATGTTTAAAAAATAAATATTAAAATGGTAATTTAAAAATTAAGATGACATAATATTTTGTAATTTTTAAATATTTTGAATTGGTGGTTCAGCGCACGGGCGCACTTAAGGTACAGCCGCCACTGATCACTGACCTTCAAGATTTAAGAGACATTAGTCAGTCCTCACTATTATTCATAATTAAAAGAGTAATTTTAACTTACCTCAAAGTTTGACTCGTCAGATCACAATACATTGGACCAATCTTCCTCGATATAATGTTGGTACCGTAGAGCCCACTCTAGACGTTTTCTTTTGTTTGTCTCTGAAAGCCAGGCTTCTTCCTAGCTTTGCATTCCTTTAGGCCGGCTTCGAAAAGTCTTCGTCTAACTGTATGAGCCCTTATTGGCTTTCCAACCTCTTCGGACAAGCCAGCAGCCAGTATTGAAGAAGTTTTCTTCCCATTTTTCATCGATTTGCGTATCAATTTTCTATTATGGCGCTTCGTAGTGACACGTTTCCTGCCTGTTTTTGGTTTATTATTATAAGTACCAGTCTGAGCAAACCGTTTGATGGCAGATTGTACAGCGCAACGCGTACATTTCACCAACTTGGCTATTTCTTTTTGCGACTTCCCTTCTTCAAATAAAAGTTGTATTTTTACTCGATTTTCAAAACTAATTTCACTCCTTTTCGGCATTTAGTTAAAGAATTAGATGTTAATGTAATTACTTAAACAGAAACGAAGGTTTGTTAACTCTTTAGATGATAAATTGCTACTGACCAAATATTGACTGATAAGACCACAAGAAAACACAAATCCTTTGTTTTCGATTACCAGGTGTTTTATGACCTTATGAATATGCTGCTGACCTTTCCAGGTAATGGTTTATGATCCCGAAATATTATACAAGAAACGAATTTATTTATTATTAGATAAGTAAACATTAATATGCATTTTTAGGGGTGCCTAATACATTTGGGCAAGGCTGTATGTTCAGGTGACTAAAACAGGAGAAGAAATGTGTGTAGTAATATTGTTATATAATATTTTTATTTATTACAGACTTGGAGCACACAGACGACGCGCTGTCCGCCCTCATGGACGATGAGCTCATCACGGACGCTGACATCAGCAGAGGTAAGACAAGCAGATTGAACTATAATCTTATATTTTTAAATGAGCAATTCTTGTATATATACAGGGTGTTCTAATAACTGTGTCAACCCTTAAAGGCATGTTACATATAAGTATAAGCTTAGTATAAAAAATAGTATAACTTAAAAAATATCAAGCAGAATTCAGTTACAGTGCATAGGCTAAATAAATTTTAAATCGACATTATTTGAAAAAATGTTTCAAACATCTGACCCATATAAGGTGCCGAATAGTCGCGCCGGCGCACGCGCGGCCATTAATCGCAGGCGCCGGGTGACCGGCGATATTATTATTATTTTGTTAGTTTTTCGAATAGAGATTTGCAAGATTAAAAATTAGGTATATCGATAAATATTCTATCGATATTTTGTTATAAATAGTTATGCTTTTCACATTAAAATAATTTCATTTAAAATAACTGTTATTAATAATAAATATTATTAATCAATATTATAATTTGGAACTTCTTTAGGTAAATTAACTATGTTGTATTATTAGGATAAATCGTTAATCTATTTCTGTTAAAAATGGTGTTTTACAATCAAAAATAATATTAATGTTTGATATATCAAAATAAGTATCGAAATAATATGAATATTAAATATTTATTTACTGTTATGATTTTTTAAATATCGATATTTTCAATAATTTGAAAGTAACTTTGAGTTCGTCACTAGTAGCGCAGCAGGTGTGATGACGCCATTGAGTCTCATCATGTTATACCAGTGGGTACAAACATTTGGTTACTCTATATGTAGAGTATGATTATATAATAATCATTTAATATTTAATTTCATTATTTTTATTGAAAAATTTGTAAATGTAAGTTGTTTGATTGTGTTCCATTTTCGATACTGATAACGCAGTTAAGGGGGTTGACACAATTTTTCATACACACTTTATAATAGGAATCAGCACCAACGATTATCATGAAATATAGTATATAGGGGTTTCGGGTCCGATACATCAATCTAGCAGCTAGCTAGGAATCATTTTTAGAAAATGTCATTTTATGAAAAAAATAACAAAAAGGTGTTTAAAATATGACTCTTCCTGACATCTATTGGCGAATAATAATACTTTTTTGCTAACTGCTTTTACTAATTGCTTTAACGACACAACAGCAGATGGTGTTGTTAAGTAACGGGAAGTCAATGAGTGTTTGTTTTGAAATAAGATTAAGAAATTAGTTGTTGATTTATATTGTTTTGTGTTTTCTTAACATGTTCACTTAGAAATGCCTAAACGAAATAAAGAAAACAAAAATAAAACTAATAATTCCTAAATACAGAGTAAAGCTCGGTAACCAGTTATTGATATATGATGTAGTATGTGAGTTAATGTGAGGGAGTGTTTACAGAGAGCTGGTGGTGGTCGGGCGCGAGGCGGCACGTGTGTGTAGTGAGACACAGCGCCCTCACCGACGACTACGGGAACTTCCTGGACCTGCGTCACCACTGTGACTGTCCGCCGGACACACCCGACACACCGGACACACCGGACCTCCGGACACAGGCCACCAGCACCGCGCTCACACCGCCTTGGCAGGCCTTATAACACCGGACACACATATCACACACACACTGATACTTACATACACATATATAAATATATATTATATTGTCTTTGATATTCAGATACTTCAATATTAATGTACATAGATGTGAGTGTGAACCGTTGTACTTTAATGGATAGTATTGTCCTATTGTGAGTAGTTACGGTTCAGTAATGTGTGACAGAGGTCCGGTCTATGGGACATTGTATGGGATTCTTATATGGGGATCCAGCTAGTAGGAGACCCAACTGACTCGTGTCAATTTGACCATTAGAAAGTTTGGACCCATTTAGTGCTAGCCCTTACGATGTAACGGATAGATGTAAATGTATGTAAAGATTGTTAGGGTCGGATATATATTAGATGTAAAGTATAGTAGCCACTGTATGCCAGTATTTTGTCAAGGAACATATTTTATTTGTTATTTGCCGTATACAATGTTTTATATGTGACGCGTCGCAGTAAGTAGCTCTAACTGATGACTGTCAATAACATATCTGCCAACTGATTCATATTATAGACTAGTGTCTAGTTAGTTACCTCTGTAGCGAGTAATATATCGTGTACGACGCCGCTTCTTTACTAGAAGAAAAATATTTTATATGAATTGTTTAACGTATGTCATCCTTTTTTTGGAAGAATTATTATATTTCAAGTTTAAAGAAGCGGTGTTCGTGTGCTAGGGAGTGTGGAAGCTTCCAGAATACTTACATATTTTAGGTTTTACTTAATTAACTCATACAATAAAGCATCATATACAACTCATGAAATATGTATCGATGTATCGCAGTTTAAAACCGGAACATTGACGTTTGAATCAAACTTTATATGTAATATGAACAGCCAAATATAGAAGCCAGTCGGATCAGATCTCAAAACGACCAGTATCAATAAAAAATAACTAATCCTTAAGTAACTTTAGTCGTACATTTGATATAAAGGTGCGGTTATTTGTTTAACCGATTCTTATATACGTAATTGTAACGTCGGGCCTATCACTAACAACTGTCAGCGGCCGAGCGTCGCGTGCCATAGATAAAAAGAAAATGTGTTCACGAATTAGATATACATATACATAATGTTTGTAGGATGTGTGTCTATACTACGTCCGGCACGCATCTATATACTTATTATTAATTGTAAGCGAAATATAAATATATTGTAATATTTTGTGTTCTATATAAATCGCGCGTTTTTTAAAACGCCCGCGACATGTCCTGTTGTAATTGTCGTTTGATAATTAATTGGCTCCCAAAACAACATTCCTTGCTTTCGATAATTGAATTCTAAAACATTTATATTACTTATATTATTAACACTTGTAATTATTATTTCGGATTCTAGTATTTTTAAGTATTCTTATAAAATATCATCGTTTGAAATTATGATTATATTACTTTGAAGACTCGGTGCATTATGTTAGTTGCCATCATATTATTTTGATATTTATTTTTTCTGTGATAAAAAAATGAGACTTCATTTTTGAAGAAATTATTATTTACATTTCAACTTTTATTATCATGCATAATAACGAGAATGTATCGAGACTGTCAACTGTTGACAGTCGTTTGATGTGTTCGAGACGGTACTACATACTGATGTTGTAAAACTAACTTAGTAATATTAAAGTTAGTGGGTGTATATTATTATAATTTGTGTACTAAAACATTATTTTCTGAGATCGCTAGAGGTGATGAGTGTACTCTTGTGATGTGTCGACTCACTGACGTGTCCAACTTATGGTAATCTTGAATTTGGTAAAACTACTCCGCCTATAGATGATATTAACGCGGTGATTTATTTGAATTTATAATTTGTATTGGAATTCTTGTCCGCTACCATTTAATTTTAAGAGTAGAATGTTCTACCTCTAAAATCATAGTTGATGTACAATAATATAAACTTTTAACAAATTGTGAGTTTTTTTCTTTCTACGTTTTTGTATTACACGATGCGATCCCACATTTCTAGCTTTATACAGGGTGACTGGTGAATTACTATCGATACTTGAGGACGTGATATTTGACGATCATATATGACACAATAACAATTAATATATCATAAATATTAATAAACTATAGATGAAATTTGAAGAATATGTCGATGACCTTCCGAGAATACTTACTAAGAATGATTTTGATTTTAATGGAAATGAAAACACCAGAAATTAACACTATCTGTAGTTACTAGTTAATTATGAGAATAATATTAACAGATAAATAAACACTTGAAAATTAAATCTCCATTTTGCAAAATTTTTATTGCTCTTCAAAAAATTTTATCTCAAAGCTTTTGAGGACTTAAGTGGTAAAAAAACTTTTTAAGTTAAATGGTTTTACGTGAAACATACATTGCAATATTTAAGATAAATGTACTAAAAACCAAAAAATAATAAAATAGATACAGTCGTGGGAATTATAAACATATGCACAGACTAGACTAAAATAAAAGCTTGGGGCACGTCAATTGTCTACAATCATTGATTAAAATATTTGTTTTGTAATGTTACACTATATTATAGTGACTATAATTAGGAAGTTGTTCAACCGGCAACGATGAACGTGTGATAAGTAGCCAGAATGTGGAAATAAGCTAGCAAGCTCGATCATAACCGAGTTTTAGGGTTTCATAGTGGTGAGCGAGTAGTAGTATTTTTATCATGTTTTGTCGATTAAAGACAAACTACGAGCAGTGAAAGAATTCCTCGCCAGCCAGCAGTGTGAATGTGCAACGATAAACTAGTTGAAACATCTCTTTTATTTACATGGAGTGTATAACTATTGGAATTTCCATGAGCAAGAAAAAGGTAATTTCCTCACCGTCCGCGGGCCAACTGCCTATCGACGAATTAAACGATTCTTCTATCGCACATTAAGTCGATAATTTGTAGACAATTGACAGTCCCCCACGCTTTTATTTAAGTCTAGTCTGTGCATATGTTTATAATTCCCACGACTGTATCTATTTTATTATTGTTTGGTTTTTAGTACATTTATCTGAAATATTGCAATGTATGTTTCACGTAAAACCGTTTAACTTAAAAAAAAAATTTACCTATTTTTATTTTCTAGTTTTTAGTTTTTATTTCGCATTCTGTTTAATTCATTTGTGCATCATTATTGCAAGGTTTCTTGCCCGTTAGTTTATTGCAGTCCAACTCCTCTAAAAAATTGTTATCAGCCATTTGGTAGCGGCGGCCATCTTAGATTTCAATTTAGCATAGTAAATTGTATTCTACTTGTTGAGACCTTTCATTTGATACCCATGTTGATGGAATTGATAAAACCTAAGTTATCCGCCATTTTGTAGAGGCCGCCATCTTGGATTTTAATTTTATATAGTACATTGTATTTTACTGGTTGAGCACTTTCTTTTGATACCCATATTGATGGGATTGATAAAACCTACGTTATGCGCCATTTTGTAGCAGCCGCCCTCTTGGATTTCATTTTTTTATAGTATACTAGCTGACCCGGCGAATTTCATACCGCCTTATAGTGAAGAATTATCTGTTATCTTTTTATCTGAATAAAGTTAATTTCTTTATTAAGTACATAGCTGTCCCGATAGACATGTCAACTCTGGCCACAGACCAATTAAGAGTAATATGAGATTTTTTATTGTAAGTCATCAAAAAATAAAAAAAAATTGCCAAAAAATTAAAGTTTTTAATTAACAAATAAAAATAAGGGTTGATCTCAGAGGGGTGAAAATTTAGGGTTGTATGTATTTTTGTAGGCTGTGTCATAAAAAAATAAAAACAAAAAATTTTGTCTAAAAAATAAAAACAAAAATTTAGGGGTGGACCACCCTTAACATTTAGGGGGATGAAAAATAGATGTTGGCCGATTCTCCCCCCTGGTTAGTATCTTCGATAAGGATCACGAAAATCGGTCAAGCCGTTTCGGAGGAGTTCCAGTTCGAACACCGTGACACGAGAATTTTATATATTAGATTGTATTCTGCCTGTTGAGTCCTTTTATTTGATACCCGTATTGATGGGATTAATAAAACAAATTGTCCGCCATTTTGTAGCGGCGGACATCTTAAATTTATAATTAAAATGAATAAACATAATTGTATTGTCACCAAAATCCAAAGTGTATACAAAATTTTAGATTAATCGGTTGACAGGAAGAGGGTGAAATTTGAATTACTAAATTTGACCCAAGAATAAAACAAACGGGGTGAGCTAAATAAAACCGTTTAAAAAAATTAAATGATTCTTGTTTGTATAACTTTATGGTTAAGCCTTCCACTTTCTACCCACGAAGAACCTATTTCGAGTGAGTTCGTTTGTGAGCTTGTAATATTTATTAACCTTGATGATATGGTCTTCTAGATTGGTTTCCCTGGGTACCGTAAGCTCTATCGACACAACGCGCTTTAAAATTCGCGAATACAAAAAAAATGTCTGGTCTGGAGGCCGACGCACAAATATCTATATATAATTAATAAATATAATTTGTATTGTTTCTCATAAGTATCCATCATTATAGTCCAAATTTAATGACATCAGAGCATATGAATTTACGTGCATGTGCAAGATCAAACTGTAGACTCCGAGAAAAATTAGAAGATACTTGAAAAGACCCTTTTCTCTGGTTTTCTTATACTGATTGACTATACTGGAGTCTATGACTGAAATTAATATTGATATTGGATCTCTATGAGTGTGAAAAATCGAGTGATTTGTTTTCGCTGATTGCATACAAGGTTGTCTAACGTTTATATCAATTTATATTTGAATATAAGAGACTTACGTAAGGACTGAAATATAATATGCACGTATCGGACAACATACTAAGCATTATTTATTTTATAAGAAGCTACACCAAGACCTTTGATCTCATTTTAATATACTAGCTTTTGCCCGCGACTTCGTCAGCGTGTAACTCCTTGTAACGGTAAGGTAAAGGTACCTATAGAACGAAAATACTTCAGTGCAAAGCTTCGTTTGCGGTCAGCAGGTAGGTGTAGGTTTCTGATTCGCGAGATAGTG